TTTAGTATTAGTATTTCAGTGTCTTATCATGTTATTGAAGCATTGTCTTTCTCCCACACTGACAGAATTATCCTGGTGTGCCTCTTAAGGGCAAAAGTTATCCTAGGTTTATCTTAGGGACTCCTTTTTTTCTCTCATTCTGATCCAACTAGAAAATATTTAATCAACAACAGAAAAGCTTTAAAAAAAAATGATCTTTTTCATCTCAGCCCAAATCTATCAGTTATGCGTGTAGTGTTTCACATTACTTTAGAACAGAATTGAGTGGAATGGAATAGAAACCTGATTTTTAGTTGCCATTTCTGCTTCCTCCTAAAATAAGAAGTGACAAGACATTTTTTGCAACAGAAGTAACTTTTCAAAAGTGTTTATAAAAGTAGCTTTATTTCAAGAAAAACTGCAATACAGTGTAGCCCAGTAGTCAAGGACATGGACTGTGAGGACAATGAACTTGATTTGAGTCACTGTATCTTATTTGGCAGTGATGTGATGATGTGATGTGATGATGTGATGTGATGTGATGTGATGTGATGTGATGTGATGATATGATGTGATGTGATGTGATGTGATGTGATGTGATGTGATGTGATGTGATGTGATGTGATGTGATGTGATGTTGAGGCTTCACTTTATTTTGATGTTCAAAATAAAGAACATCATCATATCTACTTCAAAGGCTTGTTGTGGGAGTTGAATAAGATTAAAATATGTCCATTTGCCTTCATATATTTATTCTTAACAGAGTGGCTAGTACGTAGTAAGCATTCAACAAATTTTGGCTATTTTTACTTATAACAATATCAACAAAAGTTTATAAACATCCAAGTTAACATTTTCCTACACATGATAGTTAAAATCAAACTCATTGCTTTCAGAAGAAACAACTTTGAGAAACAAAACATGAGGGTTGCTATATAGTTTATACTTCAATATATGGGAGGTCTGGCATTGGTTCTTGTGCCTCTTCCAAAGAGCTCTCCAACTGGCTTGATGTGGATCAAAACTTGAAACCAGAGTGGTGGCTTTACTTTCTTTTCAGGAAAAGAACTGCCATGAATGCTACATAAACATTAGGACCCCCTTTCTGTTGATCCAACAAGGGTCAATCTGCTTCTTGAGAAGTAAGCCGTCTGAAGTATGTCGATATGGGTGTCACAAATCTCTTAACTTCCCTAGTTATTGTCCCGGTAAGCTAAGTGTTCTGTATTTCAAGCCAATACTACATGGGTGCAGAAAAATTTGGCAGAATGAACAGTGCATGTGGATCTAAATGTCAGTTCTTCAGCAGACAAAAATGTATGTTCTTCATAAAACATTACAATTCTGTCTTGTTTCTCAGAATCTGTATGTCATACTTTACATTAGAAAAACTTTCAGTAATTTTCTAATCAAGTCAGAAAAATAGCTCATCAGCTTGAGCTTTTGCCTACATTCTCATGTTCAGATTTAGGGTGTGTCTCTTCTGATTGGCCCAAGGACCCATGTAAATTGACAAAAAGTGTCTTCATGTGAGAGGGACATGGAACTGAGGTACTGCAGGTGCCAGGAGGTTTCCTTTTTGAACCTAGAACTTTTGGTTGTAAGTAGTAAACCCAACTCAAACTTATTTAAGTAAAAAATGAAGTGTATATTAAATGTAACTGGGTATCTCAAGGAACCAAAAGCAAAGGAAAATGTCAATATTCAAGAAGTGTTGAGATGTAACTGGGCTTAAATAAATCCTGGCAGCAGAGTCAGACTCACAGTACCAGGGTTTCTCTTTGTCACCTTGTGTCTCTGTTTCCTTGAATGGTAGCTTCTTTCTATTTTATCAATGCACATTGACTTCCTTCAAATAACAGAAAACTGCCTTTGATTTTCTAGCTTTATAGAGCTTCAACCACACAGAGCAAGACCGGCTTTTTTAGTTCTAATTCCAAAATCCTGGAGGGGGAACTCAGCTAGGTCTAATTTGGATCAGATTAACTGGGTCAAAGAGACGAGATACCATTTGGATCCATTTGGTGAGGTGCTCAATCAACCACTGCCTATAAGCAATACTAATCTGTTGGTTCCCATGGTTAAAAATAAATGTGGTGGGGCAGTTCTTACCAGAAGTGTTGCCAGCCTGACTATTCCAGAGATGTTCACTATTGCATGAATATTTGTGAATACACTGCAAGGAAGTAGGTAGTTCTAGCTTCCCATTTGCCAGCAAAGACTGCCTATGGTCTTTGAGAATTTCCCCGTTAAACTATCCATTCATTGTTAGAAAGTTCAGGATGGTGGGATGGCTGGAGGCGGTGGGGGAGGGGGGGATGATTGCACATGAAAGAAACTGAGCAGGGAGAAGGGAAGAAGAGCGCATCAAGGAAGCATTGCCAACATGAAGCAGAGGGCTCTGGACCTCCCAGATCTTTTCAGATTAAATCCTTATGGTTCTCCCAGCTGCCTTTCTTCCCTCCTGCCTTACACCTCTTTTTAATATTTTCTCCCATCATTTTTTAAATGAAGGCCTTCTGTGTTACTTATAAGACTTCTGTCCTCCAGAGAAGCAGTGCTCTACTTTAGGCAAAAGTTTGAAGTAAAGCAGAGTCCGTCTCTTCGGAAAAGTATTTTCCCATGTTCTCTTGTTCTTTTTCTTAAAATAACAAAACCTGAGGGTTGGAGGAGACCAACCTGGAAGGCCAGCAAGTCCATCTATTACTGTGTGTATCCCATTTCTGGCATCCATGACAAGTGGTCATTCAGACTGCTTGACCACACACCATAAACGGGCACTCACCGCTTTTCAAGAGAGCCCAGTCTATCTCTAGATATTAAGACTACTTCCTCGTATTAAGCTCCTACTGGGACAAAAATATGTCTCTCCTTGTTGCTTGCACCCGTTGCTCCTAGTTCTACCACCTGGAAACAAACAAGTCTAATCTCTTTCCCACACACTCCCCTTCCAAGAGATCCATTATGTTATCATGTTTCTCCCTATGATCTTTCCTCTTCAGGCTGAGCAACTGTTCTTCCCGTAACTGTTCTCTGTCATGTGGAATTTCAAGTACCTCGATTAACCAGGACACTCTGTTCTAGAAGCTTTAGTTACTTAAATGTCCCTAACTCCACCCCTTCCATAACCAGGCATAATTTTCCAGATGTGGAAAAACCAGCACAGAAAGAAAAGAACTAATAATCCCCTTCATTATGAACGTAGAACTTCAGGAAAACCACGTTTATCTTTTGGGAAGACCGAACTTATGCTTTGTCACTCTCATACTGAAAAGTATATAATAATTAATCTATAAAGAAATTTAAATGCTAAAGAGTGGTGGTACTTAAATTTTACAAGTGAATTTCAGGCATCAGTAATTGGAAGGAGGGGGGGTGGGAGGAATTTGTGAATTCTCATAGTTCTTCAAAGCACATGTTTGCTTTACTTCTGCTAGTACTATCCACTCACTGAAAAATTGTGGGCAGAGTGAATCCACAGCAGGGCCTCATCTGATTCCTTTCTCCTTCTCCATGAAATTCATATGCCTCACAAACATTTGTGTTCGAGTTATACACACACGCATGCACACATGCACATGCACACGTATGCACAGTCTGGGGTGAGCACTCTAACAGACACCCATCCCTCAAGGAGCTAACAGCTTAAAAGCTGTAAGACAAGCCTTTTGCTCCCCTCACTGAAGGGTGCCGTGTAAGCCAGTTCATTAAGGAGGAACAAGAGGTCACCATGTTGGATTGGGTAGCACAGTAGGTTAGTCTGAATAAATTCTTAACTTTCTTGCTCCAGAAGCACAGCTAGAAGCAAAACCCAATTTGAAGAAGTTGGAGTGAAGCTTGAGGGGTCAATCAAAGAATCTCCAGCCCCATGTAAATTGGCCATCCTACCATCCCAACATAGGGGCACACCGAGTCCTGCCCTTATCTATAGTCATTTATAGGTTCATCAGGAAAACTGATTATTTTGAAAATAATGCAGGATATTCTCTTCTATTTATGTATTTCCATGTTTAAAATGAGGGTGTGGCATGCATATATGTGCATAAAGATTTCACATCAGACAAATTTAAAACTTTGAGTCTTAAAATCTAATATGAAATAAGTGGTAACTTTTTATAAATATTATCATATCTACTCATTATTTTTTCTGAAAACATCTGAATATGTTTCAAGCTCCTCAACATTGACAACAATAACTGTCTAGACCCCGTGAAATTGCATATCAGCAAGGGAGTTTGACATTCCTTCTGTCAGCAACATACGTCCCTGACCTACTCTATGTCCTACTCCATCTCTATTAAGGAAGTTAAAAAATTATAACAAATCAGGACAAGCTCAGGAGCCCAAGTCCCATGGCCAAAGAGCTTCTTAGGTCCCTTGTGTTAGTAAAGCTAAAATTGAGATTTTAATCACCTTGTTAACCTTAGAAAGTTTGAGTCTAGTGGGCTCAGGTATAACCCTAACCTCATTTAGTTACCATAAAGGAGGAAATGCAAGACTATAAACAGCTTGAAGCTACCTACCACACAACTAAGAAAGTAAATTCAAGATTCTTTATATTGAGGAGAATCAACTTCATTTTTAAGGTACAACTCATGGTTGTATTTAGCAACTTACCTAAGAGATTCCAGTCTCCTTGTCATTTATTCTTCTTCTGAACAATGTTAATAAATGCAGTATTCATAATCTCTTTACTTTAGAATTAAAACAAAAGAAGAGCTTTGGACAGTGAGGCTCAGTTGGTTGGGCATCATCCTGTGCACCGAAAGGCTCCTGGTTCAATTCCCCTCAGGGCACTTGCCCAGGTTTCAGGCTTGATTCCCCAGTAGGGGGCTTGCAGGAGGCAGGGATCAATGTTTCACTCTCACACTGATGTTTCTCTCTCTCTCTCCCTCTCCCTCCTCTCTCTCTAAAAGTCAATTTAAAAAATCTTTTAAAAATAATGAAACAATGGAGGACTTCAAAATTGGTGGCTACATTGAATAATTGGGAATACTTTAAGATTAGTTGCTTTACCTATAAACAGAGACAAAATTTCCTGTTTTCTAATTTCTTTATATAAAATATTTTATTTCTCCAACAGATTGTTTGGTTTTTACAAGGGAATTCTACCACCCATATTGGCTGAAACACCAAAAAGAGCAGTGAAGGTAAGTAGTGTATGCCTTCCCACCAGGAGAAAATAGACTACAGTGATAACCTCAGTGTTAAAACATCCCACAACAACCTGTGGGATATGAATGTGAATTATAGATAATAAGATTGTTAATGCAGAAATTATAGCATGATTTTATTATAATTAGACTTGATGAATCAAATTTTGGCTTGTGGAGTTTTTTTCCAGGTAAAGACACTCCCTTCTAATGAGGGAAATTATATAAAAAGCACAGAGGTAAATGAAATTCATGTAGTCAAAACACAGCAACCACAAAGTAGCTTGGACTTTTTCTCAAAGCAATTCATGAATTTTCCTACAAAGCAATAATTATTAATTATTAAAGAAAAAGAGCCCAGCCTGTGTTGCTCAGTGGTTGAGCATCACCCCTGAACCAGGAGGTCACGGTTCAATTCCCCGTCAGGGCACATGGCTGGTTGCAGGCTCGGTCCCCAGTAGGGGGTATGCAGGAGGCAGCCGATCAGTGACTGTCTCATCACTGATGTTTCTCTCTCTCTCTCCTTCTCCCTCTCTCTGAAATCAATAAAAACATATTTCTTTTAAAAAAAAGACTGCTGTTAAAAAAAAGGGGGGGGAGAGAGGGGAGAGACAGAAAAGCCTCTCTCTTTAAATCATTCCCATTTTAGGAACAGAGCAAAATAATACACTATATTTTCTTGATATGATTCTCACATAACACATTTATTTGGCATGCTAACTTCATTATCCCAATCCTCTGTTAAAATTTTCTATTCTGGTTTTTATAAAATTATTACTTCCATTACCCTGCTTCCATCTTCTCAACCACATAACTATGGAGTTTATGTACTACTTACCAATTCAGTATCTGGATAGGAACACAGAGGTCTGGCAGGACCTCCGAGGGAGGAAGAACTAATCTGATCACTTTTTTATATGTTCTCTCAGACAAAAGTCTTCATCACAGTGACTCTGACTGGCATTGACCCCCACACTCCCACCGCTGACAACACTAAATATGGCTTTGTCTTTCTATAGTAAGGATAACATAAACTTACGCTGAAAGACTTCCTTTCCAGCTAATGACACAAAGCTCTTTTTCACATACATTACTCAATTCATATTCCCGATATTCCTGAAAGGGGCGGCTTATATACTTTTACTCAGCAAGTCAAGAGGGTAACTAGATTCAAATTTTTGATAAAAATACCACATATATACAGAGACACCAAACTTTTACATTATGTCAAAATAGTAACTTAATAGAATTTAATTCAGGTCTAGAATTCAGAAAACAAAGCTTTAAAACACACTTTCTCTATAAATTCATGCTCTTTGTTGCCATAGTTTCTGTGATTTTTATACTATTACCTCAATACAAATTTCATTATGAGGATCTGAATCTCAGTGGAGAAGCTGGAAAAAGTTCACCAAAGTACACAAGAGGGCTGAACTGAATTATGAAATGGCTTCACTTGATAAAAGATTGCCCAAATAAACAAACAGCAGAGTTCCTGTCCAAAAGGAAAGTCACTTTGTCTCCATGGAATAATATATTCATTTGTTCAGTATTTTACATGTATAAATAAAGTAAATTATAATTAAAGATTTTCCTGGAATACTTTTCCTTAATACTATACATTGGAGACCAGTTAAACTTTAAGAGGATTATGGTTTATCAATGTTGAACAGTCTTTTACAGAAGAAAAAAAAAGTTGAGCTTTACAAAACTGAGTCTCTATTCAAAAGAAAGCAATGCTCCCTGCCAGAACAATGGTTAACAGATGAACTTTTGGGCAACTGGCTATGGTATATGTGTCCCAGACATCTTGTTTCAAGTAGTTGTTACCTTAAAATTATTGAGACATATGGTAAGTATGTTGGCTTTTTAAAGTATAACTTGGAGTTAAAAGTGTATCTTTGCCAGATGGATAGCACTATTTTTTCAACACAGTTTATGAAAACATTCACTTTATAGATATTTATCTTAGAACTTGTGAGGAAAGCAATCATCTGATTGTAACAATTTCATACATCATAAACTGCTTCATTGCATGTCATCAAAGTTTACTTCAGAACAAATATTCACAGACCTTACCATATATACACACACATGCACACATATACACATACATGGTCTATGAATACTTCATACATATATGGACGTGGATCTGGATTGTCCTTTGTACTGACATGTCAGTTACAATCATTACTATAATCAGAAACAATGTTCAGTCTTTTCTGTACTTTTTTCTTTGAAATAAGATTCATCATTAAAATAATAAGACTCATTGATGCTAAATAAATGAAACTTCCTCTTTTAAACATTAGGACAAATAGTATTTCAGTTAGCAAAAGGACATGGAAACCTCAGAAAGAGACCAGCTGGTTCCTCAGAAATGGGAGGCGCTGTGTTCCAGGTTCCAGGGTCTAGTCTTGAGCATCACAGTTCTAGAAACACCATATTTCCATGACCAGACTCTCAAGGACTACCCATTGCTAACCAAGTTCATGAGAGACTATAAATTGTGAAGGCTCTTTGCTAACCACTGTCCCTATACCTGTTATAGTGTCTACACATAGCAGATGTTCAATGGACATTACATGAGTAAATGAAATATATAGAAAGAAAAACAGAAAGAAGATTTATGGGTTTATAACAGGAGACATTCCTGTCCTGTTCCCCAAAATTCCCACATCTCTTATTCAGAATTTCTTGAAGGCCAAGACTTCCATTTCCAGCCAACATGGGATAACAGGGACCAGATTTACTCCCCTGCCTGAAACAGCAACAACAAAAAATGAACAAATAGGAAAGCACAGTTTTAAGACACCGACATCAGACAAGGAAGGATAGAAAGATGGGAAACAGAGATGAGCTCTATGGATTGCTCCACTCACTGCCTTGAAAGAGTTTCCAGGCCCAGGGGCAGGCTATAAGGCAGAAATATAGACAGAGCCCAGTGGATTCCCTGGGTTGAGAAGGAGCTGAGAGGCTGGGGAGGGCAAGGCGGCTAGAGTTCACTGGACAAAGTACCAGAGAAGAGAGAGCCACACAGAGAGAGAACTCCGAAGATCTGCAGAGGGACCCGTTGAGTTTTTAGCTGAGAACTGACTAGTGCCTGCATGTAAGGAAACTAGCAAGGCCTGAGAAAGAGCCGTCCAGTGAATCAGAGGGAACAGTGCTCCTAGACACACAAGGCTGAGAACAGTACCTGTTCCTACCAGCCAAACCTGAGGCTTCAAAATGCACAAGGCATCGAAAGGAGTACTCAGAAGGGGTTTGCCTTCCTAGTAATGTAATGACAGAAAGTCAGAAAAACCCACACACACATCTTTACACCAGAAGGGAACAAGTAGTGACACCTTTTGTGTAGTCCCTCATCTCCCAGAACTTCCCTGAACCCAGTGAGGAACCCTTAGAGCAGTGGTGCCAAAATGTGGGTCGGGAACCATGGGCCATGAAATCAGTTTAATGAGTCACTAGATGTAGTGGGTCTTGACCAGAAATTGTTTTAATGCAATAGAATAGAAACAGTTACACATAGTAAAGAGGTAAATATTGTTTTATAATGATGCTTTGTTTCAGTTATAAATACACAAGCACTGTGTACATGCATGTGAGTACATGCATCTGTGTTGGGCAAATATTTTTTTATGTAGATTGTGGTAAAAAAAAAGTTTGAAATCTGCCTTGAGGCACTCTGGGCTCCCAGGGTGAGGAAAGGCAAGGAGACTTCAGCAGCAAGAAAACTCCAGGGCAGAGAATCTCTCTCCAAACCACTAAGGATCACAGCTCAGCAGCGAGCAAGCATAGTACTGTGGTTAAGAGCACACACAGACCTAGGAGCTAGAATTAGGGGGAATCTCAGTTTTTCCACTCACTAACTACAGGACATATATCTAGAAAATGGGAATCATGGCTGTATTAGAACTGTGACCTGATGATGTTTAATGGATTAAACGCAGGAGCACATGTTAAGACCTTAGCCTGTTTCCTGGACCACAGGAGGCTCTCCTGAGTGATACAAATACATAACTAAGGCATTTAGGTTCCTTCAGTAGCCAAAGTGAAGACAGGAATGGAAACTAAAATTTTCTGAAAGTGTCCTATGTGCCAAGCATGTCAGGAAATTTTATTTAAATGCTCTTATTTAAGGACTGCTCTAAAAGGTGAGTTTTGTATTCTTGAGGGTTAGAAAGGCCAGGGAACTCACCCATGCTTTCACAGCTAAGTAGTATAACCAGGATTCAGGTCCAGGATTGCTCCTGTCAAAATCCCAGCAAGGTAATTGTCAAAAACAGTTACCTTGATGACCATAAAAGGGAAGAAAAAATAAACTATCTTTAAAGCTCAAAACTATAATGCATTTCCTTCCATGGTTAATGGTTTCTAGTGCATCTCTCATCAAAACAGTGGTGGTCCCTGGTGGGATTACTGTAACACAGGGTATAGTTTCAGGGTTATCACCATCCACTGCAATGTTAGATCAAGAAGGCAGGGATTCTCTTTGTTTACTGCTACATCCCCAGTGCCTATTAGAACACAGAAGGCATCCAATAAAATATTTGTTGAATGAGTAAATGAATGAATCCCGTTTCTAGAAAAGTCTACAACATAGTTAATCTAAAGAAGCATAGCACAAAAATAGTTCAAGGGTCTTTAAAAGAATGAAAATCTATCTGGCCATGTAATGACTCTTGGGATACCCAAAGACTCATTTGAGGCACGTCTGCAACACAGAACTACCTCTTTCTAACAGTAGAGCATTATTTGATCCCCCAAATCTATATTTTTTTCTTGTTTCATTTTACTGGGTTAAAAAGTATTAGAGTAGAAGACATGTGATCACAAAATACCCATGCCATTTCTGGGGTCTCGAGAAACAGACTAGCAGAACCTAAGAGAGTACCTTATCAGAGCCCCTTGTGGCTACCTAACAGAGTGCCCAGGAGCAAAACATCATGTTCAAGCAGAGTTGTTACCCAAAAAGGTTAGAGAGAAAAATGTATTTGGGGTATGTTATACAAAGTGATTGATTTGATTTGTCTTGCTAGAAACTCATTTTCACAAAAATTGTATTAAACATCATCTACTGAAGGAAACAACAAAATCTTCATCATCATCACATTTTAAAGGAAGGAACAAGCAGCTCTTTTCTGCTCAGGTGGAGGACAGTCCGGCTTTAAGCAGGGATAGACTAAATGACATCATTGGGTCCTTTTCTAGTTGATAATGACACCCTCATCATCACTGAGTATTGGGAAATTTCATGGAACAGTAGAGATACACAGCAATACAAATGTACATTGAAGCTGAGAAGTGGATGTCTTTTTCAAATCAGTTAGATAATTAGGCATTCACTCGGAAGGCAATTCATAGAGAAAACAGAGGAGACCAAAGATTTCAGGTCTTTATGCCTATAATTTTGAATCACTGCCATACAAAAAGAAGTCTATTGATGTCTGGGGAAACTGAAAATGGTCATGGTAAATGGAAGCTGTATGGTTCATTTACTGCTATAAAGGGTTCCATCAGCTCTTCTGTAGGTTATTATAGCTGGATTTGAAAATGTGAATGTTAAAGTAAGATCCAATAGCAACTACCTGAGACCAGATTAAAAACTGTGTTCGATGGTTTATCATTTTTTTTAATGCTGGTTAATATAACGATTTACTAAAGAAATTTGAGTCAATTAAAGGGTTTGTTGCGGGAAATTGTTATAAATCTCTGGGTTTGGTTTTGTTTCACAGTTTTTCACCTTTGAGCAGTATAAGAAATTGCTAGGATATATGTCACTGTCACCAGCATTGGTAAGTGAGAATATTTATTATACTTGAGCGTGTGTGTTATTTCATAAAGCAAAATCTGGAAACAAAAAGTCTTTTGATTCCCCAAAGCCAACTGCTAAAATATGAATTTGCGTTATTCAGTGTTCAGCTACTTGTTGAAAGCCATCTTCCTAATAACTTACAGTTTGGCTATTTTATAGCACCCAGTAATGAATTTATGATAATAATGATATGTGTAGAAAGGCTCATATGAGATATGGTCAAGAATGTAAAATAAAGAGTACATTTGTCAAAAACTCTTTTAAAGCCAAAACATGCATGTTTACCTACTGCACATATCTCTGCAAAAGCCAAGTTGCCTAAAATTATTTCCTGGCAGGTCACAGATGCGAACTCAAGAGTCTTTTATAGTCAAGGAGAATAGTGATCTTACAATGACACATCTCAACTATTACATGAAAATTACTTGGTGATTTGAATGTTTCCCGGCACTACTCCCTTCCTTCTTTGGTGGCTTTGCCACTTTTCACAGAACGAGTTAAATTATATTGACCGAGTGGGTTCTACAGTATATGTGTGTGCAACAAGAGCCCCAGAGAGCAAATGCACTAATTTCTCCCTTCACATCTGCAAAACGAAACGAAACAAAGTCTGCGTTAGCCCTCCAATTGAAAAATCCCCCAGCTTGCCTGCTAAAATGTACCTCAACATTCAGAGAGGCAGTGTTCTGAGCTTCAACTCTTATTACTTTAGTTGTAAAGATTCATTTCAGAATATTTACTCTGCCAAAGAGACTGTCCAAGAAGTATCTGTTATTTAAACAGTCATGCATGTCCCTTTTCTAGAATGATCCTATTAAGAAAACTAATTGTATGGCTTAGTGTTATGACAAAGAAACCTCTTGTCTAGCCTCCCACCGAAACAAGGTGGCCTCATATGAAAGAAGTGGAAGCATGCGTCCTAAAATTAGCTAAGTTACTTTTTTAATTCCTTGGTGTCTGTCCTTAATGTCACTCTTAACTTTGAAAACATCTTGTTAAAAAGAGAATTTAAAACCTTTCTAACAAAAGACAATAAAATATGGTCTCCGGAGGACCAGCTGGCTGTTCCTGTGTGGAGCATTGGTACCATGTGAGAAAATGCAGTTCCTTCAACTCCCTTGGGGACTGAAACAGAAAAGCATTTGGCCACTCCAGCTACCATAACCGAATGCATGCGAACTGTATACAGTTTTCCCTTTTTCTTGAACTCATTTATTCCAGTTTCTTTTTGATACAGCTAGACACTTAAAACAGCCATTAAATGTCCCTGGTGCTCTCACATGAAAAGCTGAGGGGGCTGGGAACCCAACTGTTACTGCTGGTCTCTGGAACAATCTAAGTAATATGATCTGCTGATAGCTGATCAATCCTTTTGACAAGGGACTGCTGAACACTATTTCGACAGCAAATGTAGCTGAGTTTATAGAACAAAAAAGTGAATTACTTGGAAGATTGCATATAGTAATAAAAACCTGAACATCTGGATTTTAGCTTTTTCAGTCAGAAAAGTTTGGGACTAGTGTTTTTAACCCCTGCCTTTGGCTTCCATCATGGAAGCCCGAGATCCATGAATAAAATATTTGGTCTGTTACCTTATACAAACGTGTTTAAAATTGTAACGAAGGGGCATGAAAGAAAAGTATCATTAGTTACTGGAATCTGTACACAACGCCATTCTTCCTGTCCACCTATATGTGCAACAAAAAGAATAGTGTTTGTAAAGCACTTTACAAAGGGCTTTCCCACATGATTTTGGCCCTCGTAATAACCCTCACAACAACCTTAATAACCTTAGATTAGATATGATTGTCTCCATTTTAAAGATGAGAAAACTGTGGTTTATAAAAGATTCAGTGATGTAGACACAGAGTTGAGGCTAGCACATAAGGCGTCTTAATGTGGATTTTGAAAAGGCACCCCTTTATTCCAGCTGATGCCTCTCTAGGGCTCTGGCTTGGCAAGCGGGGTGCAGGCTGGAATTCAAGCTCCACACACACCTTTGTGCACAAACTAATGTACATGGCAGCTCTGGCCTAAATCAGCCAGTAAGTGGCAGAACCGGGACCTACCCAAACCTCCTAGCTCTGGATCCTTGCCTCCCCTTCTAAGGTTATAGAACAGTCCTTTGTCCCTTTTCTCTTTTAGTCTCTTACTTGAAGCAATTAGAGACTCCTGATAAGAGTTGTCTGTTCTTTACTCCTCACTGGCTTTTTCCCCCTCTTAAGTGCATATAGTACTACCTCTTCTCCTAGAATTAGAGCTTCAGCACTAAAGAATTATTATTTTTTTTAAGCATCTGTTTTTCAGGTTCGAGGCTTTGTTTCATTTTGTTTTCCTGCTCTGTGTGTGTGTGTGTTAATCATTGTGGTTATTTTTTATACAGATTTTCTGAAAAACCTTAAGTGTTTACTTAGAGAAAAATTCTAGAAAGTTGTTCTTTCCCAGTGCAGAAATTCTTAACAGATAGCAAATAAGTGACTGATAAATGTTCTAGATTTTCGTTGAGGCCTTCAGAACCTCACCATTTCCGCTCTCATTCCTTGGCTTCTAGGTCTAGAAAAATAGGGTGATTGTTAGTTTTTTAAAATAGGGAAAGGATGAATAAAAAAATGAATTTTTATTTGATAATAGTCTAGAATAGTGACTCTAAGAATACAGCTATAAAATTAAACGTTTTCCATTATACTGTTTAGTTACCTGAAATTTCACTTTTAATAAAGTCTTTATCTGTGGTTCTGCTCCTTGAATTTTTTAATCTGCTCAATAAATGTATTTAAGTAGCTATTTTAAAATGAAGCTCTCCTTTGAGAAGTCAAGCTCTCTTTTAATTGTTACATGTGCAGATGTTTTAGTATTCACCTTAGATCAGTATAACAACCTTTTTTTTCATTAAAGGAAAAAGTCATTGTTGATGGGGCTTTGACATTTTATTTTGAATTGTTAGGATGTGGTTTTCAGCTTCTGTAATTTCTTCTTCTTGAATTGTCAGCATCTAATCAAGAACCAAAGCTGTTTAGTAATGGTATATGGTGCATTTATGTAAGTTTCCCCATTCTCATCATAACATTCAGTTACACATTGTTCTGAGTAGGATGCTTAACCCAGTGCATATGATAACTTGTCTTAAAGTATTGGTTGATTTTATTTTTCTAGACATTTGCCATTGCTGGATTGGGGTCTGGACTAACAGAAGCCATTGTGGTTAACCCTTTTGAGGTAGTAAAAGTTGGCTTGCAAGCCAATCGGAACACATTTAAAGAGGTAATCATTTAAGGTTTTCCTATTGTTGAGAGAATGTAAAAAAATATTTCTAAGTATATATATAAAAAATTATGAACCCAGCTCTTATTCACGTGCTAAGTTACATAAATTTATTGCTAAAGAAGTAGCATAAGAAAAAATCAGATTTCTCCCACAAGGAAAATGTTAACAAAAATGCACTAAAGTCTGATGGACAAACACATGTTTACACATTTTTAGAGTTTCAATGTAATCTATAATGATTTATTTGTAAATGTTTTCCCTACATTTGGCAACACTTATATTTCACATTATACTAGAATAGACTATAGCAAAAAGCACCGAGATGATATTATTGTGTTTCTAAAAAAATTTATGAAGTCATTTTAAAAATTACCTCACCCTTTTCCCTACTCCACCCACAGCCCTCCTTCAAAGGTTCTGATAATCTGTCAAGCTTGTCTTTCGGTTAAATCTGAATGAGCAAGTTACTAAACCTGTGTAGACATCACCACTCGGACAATAACGGGTCTTGACGCTGAATCGCTGGTGCATGATGTTGCGTGAAGACAGCTTCCCTAGGTGTGCGCTGCCTTCACTTCCTTTCAGTTGCCTAATCATTCGGGTAACCCATCGAGTCCAACTGCTCTTGCTTGATTCTTCTGGGTGCCAAGCACAGGCAGAGCAAAAATAAGGGGATTGGTATTCCAGGTCCTTCCTTAGCATTTTCATTTCATTCCACAACTGGGCAGCATGTGGTTTAAATTGGTTTGAAGTATCTGCTGGCCTGAATCTCTCTGTAGAAAAATCCCCCTGCCTACTACTTAGGCAGCTGCTAGTGGGTGGAGACCCCCTTACCCCCACCTCGCTTCCTGCCTGCTGATACTGCGTGAGAGCTCCCTGTCAGCTTCTTGAGCAGAGGTGTGGGAAAGGAGAGGGGCCCTCCTCACCTGTAGCTACCAAGGCCCGAGAAGGACAGGGTTGGCCCCCTACAGCAGATGGTATCCACTCAGATGAAGTCAATCCTAATTAAGGGGGATTTTTTTTCAAGTTTCAAACGACGTCTTAATTGCAGTGATACATGGCGCTTCAGAAAAGGTTGGAAATCCCTGTATTACTCTAGTCTTTGTTTCTGTTTTGCCTTCTTTCTATTCTTCCTTGAAGGGTGAAAAAAAGATGGTGAGGGATAGGAGGAAATGAAAGAGACACCTTTCAAATGCCCTAGCAATGTGGAGCATTTAAAACGGCTCCCGTGGAACCTGCTCAAGAAAAATTTGATTTGATAGACTGGGAGAATTACCAGCTAGAAGTAAATTTTGGAATTCCCCATCCAATTCCTCATTTTACCTATTGGGAAGCTTGTCTTAGAGCCGCAATGAGAAAACAATAAACATGCCTCCAACTGCAGTCCTTTATCAAGGCAGCAGGTAACCAAGGGCCACAAGTGGCACATGGCACCAAGGAGCACTCACAGGGATGGAAGTAATGTTATCACAGCACCTCTGCTCATACCTAACGTCTTTTCTCTCCTCTGCCCTCAACGAGGTTCTACGCTGAGGCCAAGTAAGAGCTGTTAATGTTTTGCATGTGTGAAGGCCTTGCTAGAACATGGTAAACAGCCTTCCAGCCCAGCACGAGAATGCTGCATGTGTGTGCTCCCCGCTCAGTTACACGAGTGCAGTCTGTGTAAATTGTTTATGTGTATGCAGCCATGTTTTGAGTGGAGAAGAAAGGGGCACTTGTTTGGGATCATTTCTTTTGCATAATTCACTGAACTGGATTCGTTGTCAGATACTTACTTAGACAAAGTAAAAGCTACTGGGTGCATTGTAAAATATTTGCAATATTACTTCAACTAGTCAAACATCAGCAAAGTAGGGATCACATAGGTCACACATGTCAGCATCTATCAGGACTCAGCAGCTGAACTGAGGTGGCACTTACAGGCAACACTGATCAAATTGAAAGTAATTAGTAGTACATAGTCACCCAACATAAAGTACTGGGACTATGCCTATTGCAAACAGTATCTGAAAGAGATGACTCAGTAAGAAGAGCAAATTTGGCCCGGCTGGTGTGGCTTAGTGGTTAAGCATCGACCTATGATCCAGGAGATCACAGTTCAATTCCTGTTCAGGGCACATATCCGGGTTGCGGGCTCCATCCCCAGTCGGAGGTATGCAGGAGGCAACTGATCAATGACTCTCTCATCATTGATGTTTCTATCTCTCTCCCTCTCCCTTCCTCTCTCTAAAATCAATAAAAACATTTTTTTAAATTAAAAAAAAAAGAAAAGAAGAGCAAATTTGGATCTAGTTACTTAAAACTACCCATCACTTTTGGCAATGCAGCCATTTCCTGTGTCTTTTGTCTGGGGCCCATTAACTCCAAAACCTTCCTTCACCAACCAGCACTTTCTTTTATCCAACAAGGAGATACCCTTTTGTTAATCCGAACCTGTGTTGAATTCATCCAAATATTAGGTGTGCTCACTTCAGCATTTGTATGGCCAAGAACAATTGCTGCTTTCTTCACTCTGAGGCTCTGCGGGTTGTCAAGAGGCATGAGGGTGGGGGTGGGATTGGAGAAGGAGAAGAGGAAGGAATTAATTTCATGCCCAATGCATTTAAAAATTATACTTCTTTTTTTTAAGAAAAAAGTTTGAATTCAAGTGTAAAGGTAATGCATATTTATGTTAGAAAACACCAAAAAACTATGTATTTCTGTGTATACATATAGGTGTATAAGTGTACTAAAATGATTCAGAGCACTGCTATCCAATAGAAATGTCATGTGAGCCATGTTTTTTAATATTTATATTAAAAAAGCAAAAGGAAACAGATGAAATTAATATAATACTGTATTTTATTTAATCCAATATATTAAAAGTATCATTTCAACATGTAATCACTCTAAAATTATATGAGATAATTTACACTCTATTTTCATACTTAGTCTTTAAGTTTCATGTATATTTTATGCTTATGAGCACATTTGAATTTGAACTAGAACATTTCAAGTGCTGAAGCGCCACATGTGGGTAGTGACGTCCTTATAGGAAAATGCATGTCTAGGAGAATTAATACAAACTCCTCACTGGTTACCTCTACAAAGCAGATTGGAGTCCAAGAGAGGGAGGCAAGAATTTAAGGGAATGGCTTTGTGTAGTTGAATGTTTAACATGAGAACATATCAAGTATTCTGCGAACATTTACTCTAAAAAGTAACAGTTGTTCATCATAAAAGATTTAGAAAGTACAGAATAGTAAAAAGAAAAGTAAGTAATCCAAAAGAAATGTTCTAATGGCTCTGTCAGGATCAAGCCTGCCCTGAGGGAGAACCTTCCCAGATGATGGGGAGCAGTGGGAGGGGAGAATGACTTGCTGGCCCATCTTAGGACTCAACCAGGTCCCTCTATTGTTAGGAAAAAATGATAGTAATAGCCACACCAAATGGTGTAATGAGGGTTCAACAGGATATATATGTAAAGCTGTCAATACAGTCTGACATACAGTGATGGTTTATTGTGTTAGTAGTTATTATTACAACATGCTTTTTCTGCAAATTTAAATGTGATGATATATACAAAGGTCTTAACACAGCACCTGGTACAAGGTAGGCACTCAACCAAAGATAACTATTTTTAGATGCAAGTTGATCTTCTAAATCATTAAGTTCAAGTAGAGACAGGTGTATCTTGAATTATTGCCCCAATTAATACTGAGCAGTCACAGCTGGCACCAGTGTGGGCATGAAAATAGCTTACTGAACAATGGTCAGTCTTTTTCTTTAGGTCATTCTCAGATGCCAATAGGATCCATTAGGCTGAATTCTTTATCAGAGCCTGAGACCTGGCAGCCTAGTTCCAATGCCTGTTGACAATATCTTTAAACTAAGAGCAGGTCCACTGTCATTAACAATAGTATCTGGGTATCCGCTTACTGTAAATAACTAGCATATAGCAGCAGAAGTTAGAGATAAACTAAAAGCATTTGAAGTCACTCTGGAATGAGTTCTACCAGAATTGAGATAGTCTTGCTCTGGAATAGTCCTATAAAGTTATTGTGGGTTCTTGATGAAGCCTCTTTGGTCACTTCCCATGGAGGTTGTGAACGAAGCTCATTTGCAGCCTTTTCAGTGGATTGCAGCTACCAGCTGCGGTGGAACATGAAACAGATGGGCAGCCGCAGAATGATGGTTTGCCAGCACCTTTAAGAAAAGCAGAGCAGATTCCCCAGAGGCTTATTTTGCAGGTAGAATACTCTTGCTCTGCCAGTACAGTGAGTTTCTCAGGCAGCACGTCTCACCCTCCTAGGTGTGAACCACCCTGGATGCTGCATAGTAACTGTGGCTTTTCCTATTTTGTCAGCCTAAGGAGGTGAGTCACAAACTGGTCCTTCAGACATGAAAATTTCCTAAGAAGTTGCTGTCGTTGAGAGGGGCCCTTCAGTGGAAGACAGGCTAAAGCAACAGTAGTCAACATTACACTTAACATTACACTCAAGCCTCAGAGGCAACGGCAGAGGGATGAAGTAGGAGCAAAGAGCTGCCACGGGCCAGGGTGCGCAGAGTGTGGTCTAGAGGAGGTTGGGGATGTAAGTAGATGGCCCCCTTGTCCCTGTGGGGAGAGCATGGCTGACAGCCAGCCAGAATGGGGCCCTCTGAAGCATGAGACCCAGAACAGGGGCCCCCAGCTGGGGTTCAAGGGCATTACTGGCTGAGAGCGGAGGCTGCATCCATTATGATCTTGGAGCCCCAAGTGCAGTTCCCATCAGGATTTCCCAGGAATGACAGGTACTCTGCTGGCTCCAGCTGCCTGGGTTCTCCCCTCTGTCACCTAGGATTGATTCTCTAGCCAGTCAGAAGTATGTTATCCATAAAATATGTGGTCAGTTTGGTTTCTAAGACTTCTCTCATATTCTCCCAGCTTCTGTATAAAGTATTTCAATAGGTGTGCTTGTCTCTTCTCCCCTTTTTAAATTGCCACCATATCAGTCAAAGACTATGAGCCCTGCCACACT